CTCTCTGCCTCTCACCTAAAAATGGAGCTTGGGAAGAAGCTACTGGGATTCGCCATTTTCATGGTCTTCTTCTTCTTCACTTCCTTCGCCTCTTCCGTTCCGAACCCAGACGCAGAAATCCTCTTGTCGTTCAAAGGGTCACTCCAAAACCCCATCTTTCTGTCCTCATGGAACGATTCAGTCCCTCACTGCAGCTGGGTCGGCGTGAGCTGCCAACTCGGCCGGGTCACGTCGCTCGAACTCGCTTCCACTTCTCTTAGAGGCCACATTCCGGCTTCGGTTTTCTCTCTCTCAACTCTCGTCTTCCTCGACCTTTCTTCCAACGCTCTGGTCGGCGAAATTCCTCCCCAAATCGGCCAGCTGAAGCGCCTGCGACAGCTGTCACTGTCTCAAAACCAACTGTCCGGCGAAATACCGGGCGAAATTAGCGGGTTGACTCACCTGCGGTCGCTGAAACTCGGCCTCAACTCCCTCACTGGCGAAATTCCGGCGGGAATCGGGAGTTTGACCAGATTGGACACTCTGGACCTTTCCGGCAACGGACTCTCCGGAGCGTTGCCTGTTGAGCTCGGAGAGTTGACGCAGCTGCAGTTTTTGGACCTGGGGAACAACCGTTTCTCCGGGCATCTTCCCGGCGCTCTGTTCACAAAGCTGCAGTCTTTGACGTCACTGGATATCTCCAACAACTCCTTCTCCGGCTCAATCCCGCCTGAAATCGGTAACCTAACTTCTCTGGTTGATCTCTACATCGGCACCAACTCGTTTTCCGGTCAGCTCCCGCCAGAAATCGGCGCCCTTTCTCGGTTGGAGAATTTCATCGCGCCTTCTTGCTCAATCGCCGGCCCGTTGCCGGACGAAATCGCCGGGATGAGCTCACTCAGCAAGCTTGATCTTTCTTACAACCCGTTGGGCTGCAGAATTCCAAACTCAATCGGGCAATTGAAGAACTTGACCATGATGAACTTGGTCTACGCAGAGCTCAACGGTTCCATCCCCGCAGAGCTAGGAAGCTGCCGGAATTTAAAGATGCTAACTCTCTCCTTCAATTCCCTTTCTGGCTCTCTCCCGGAGGAACTCTCCGGCTTGCCACTGCTCACTTTTTCTGCCGAGAAGAACGAGTTCACCGGTCCGTTGCCTTCTTGGTTTGGCAAATGGACACAAATGGAGTCCCTATTGCTTTCCGGCAACAAATTCGAAGGCAGGATTCCCACCGAGATCGGCAATTGTTCTTCGCTGCAGCATATCAGCCTCAGCGACAACTTATTGAGCGGCGAGATACCCAGGGAGATCTGCAATGCTGTGTCCCTCCAGGAAATCGATCTCAATGGCAACTTCCTGTCAGGTAATATGGATGAAGTGTTTTTGCACTGCAGCAATTTGACCCAATTGGTTCTGGATGATAACCGGCTCGGTGGGGGCATCCCGGGTTACTTAACTGACCTTCCGTTGATGGTGATCGATCTCGATTCGAACAATTTCTCTGGTTCAATTCCTGTGAGCCTCTGGAGTTCAGAGACATTGATGGAGTTTTCAGCTGGGAATAACCAATTGGAGGGTATTCTGCCAAGAGAGATTTGGAAGGCTGGTTCTTTGCAGCGGCTGGTGCTTAACAATAATCAGCTGAGGGGAACGATTCCGAAGGAGATTGGAAACCTCACAGCTCTCTCGGTTCTGAATTTGAATTCCAATTTCCTGGAGGGATCGATTCCTTCCGAGCTAGGGAACTGTGGCTCCTTGACCACATTGGACCTTGGAAACAACCGGCTCAATGGTTCGATACCCGATCAGCTAGCTGATTTGGGTCAGCTCCAGTGCCTGGTTCTGTCTCACAACAACTTATCAGGACCCATTCCTTCCAAGCCTTCTTCGTACTTTCGAGAAGCGAATGTTCCTGACCTGAGCTACCTTCAACACCGTGGCGTACTTGATCTGTCATACAACATGTTGTCCGGTCCGGTTCCGGTGGAGTTTGGTAATCTTGTGGTAGTAGTTGATCTCCTGCTCAACAACAACATGCTCTCAGGTCTGGTACCTCAGCTCTTCTTATAAGCCTGCATATTGCTCGTCATTTCTGCTAATGATAATTAAACATTCTATGCTTTCAGGTGAAATCCCAGGTTCTCTTGCTGAGTTGACTAACCTCACCACATTGGATTTGTCTGGGAATCGGTTGGCCGGTTCGATTCCAGCTGAATTCGGAGGATGCTCCAAGCTTCAAGGTCTGTACATTGGGAACAATCTGCTCTCAGGAACTATTCCTGCTTCTTTGGGTGGATTGGGAAGCTTGGTGAAGCTGAATTTGACAGGGAATCAGTTGCATGGCTCTGTTCCAACAAGTTTTTCCAACTTGAAAGAGCTCAGTCATATGGATCTAAGCTTCAACGACCTAGATGGCCAGCTGCCTTCAACTCTTCCAGAAATGCTGAACTTAGTAGGGTTGTTTGTTCAGCACAACAGAATTTCTGGCTTTCTGGACCAGTTCCTCTCCAATTCTGTTTCTTGGAGGATCGAGACGCTGAACCTCAGTCACAACATGATCAATGGAGAACTTCCAGCATCCATAGGAAATCTCTCCTTCCTGTCCCGTCTGGATCTCCATGGAAACATGGTGACAGGTTCTATTCCTCCTGAGATAGGGAATCTTCTGCAGCTGGAGTACTTGGACGTGTCAATGAATCGACTTTCCAGCCAGATTCCGTCCAATGTTTGCTCCCTCTCCAATCTCCTCTACCTGAACATGGCACAGAACAGCTTGGAAGGTCCAGTCCCCAAAGTTGGGATTTGCTCAAACCTCTCAAAGGTTTCACTTCAAGGCAACAACAAACTCTGTGGAGGAGTCCTAGGCACACATTGCGAAATCAGCAGAATAGAGAAGTCATCACTCCTGATTTGGTTGGTTTCCGGGTTAGCAATTGGATTCACCATTCTCAGCCTGACAATCGCCTTCTGCCTACGACAATGGGTCAATTCAGGCAGCAGGCGAAGCAATGCTGAGGAAATTGAAGTGAGCAAGCTGGACAGCTTGATCGATCAAAACCACCTCTACTTCCTCAACAGCAGCAGGTCAAGGGAGCCATTGAGCATCAATGTGGCCATGTTCGAGCAGCCGCTTCGGAAGCTGACCTTGGGGAACATCCTGGAAGCCACCAACAACTTCAGGGAGACCAACATAATCGGTGATGGCGGGTTTGGCACCGTCTACAAGGCCACACTCCGAAACGGTAACAAAGTAGCAGTGAAGAAGCTGAGTCAAGCAAAAGCACAGGGGGACAGAGAATTCGTTGCTGAAATGGAAACCTTGGGGAAGGTCAAGCACCAGAACCTTGTTTCTTTGCTCGGCTACTGCTCGTTTGGCGAGGAGAAGCTGCTGGTCTATCAATACATGGTGAATGGCAGCTTGGACATGTGGCTTAGGAACAGAACTGGCAGGCTGGAAGTGCTTGATTGGAACAAGAGGCTCAAGATTGCAGTGGGTTCAGCTCGTGGGCTGAAGTTCCTCCACCATGGATTCCACCCCCATATCATCCACAGAGACATCAAGGCCAGCAACATACTCCTGAATGAGGATTTCGAGCCCAAAGTCGCAGACTTTGGCCTCGCGAGGCTGATCAGCGCGTGCGAGACCCACGTCAGCACCGAGATCGCAGGCACCTTGGGTTACATTCCCCCAGAGTACGGCCAGAGTGGTAGGTCGACAAAGAAGGGCGACGTCTACAGCTTCGGGGTCATCCTGTTAGAGCTTGTGACGGGGAAGGAGCCCACGGGACCTGATTTCAAAGAAGTAGAAGGTGGGAACTTGGTGGGGTGGGTTCTGCAGAAGAGGAAGAAAGGGGAAGCCGTGGAAGTCCTCGATCCAGCAGTGGTGAATGCGGACTGCGAAGGTGCAATGCTTAAGGTTCTGCAGATTGCTTCTGTGTGCTTGGCTGAGAACCCAGCTAGAAGGCCAACTATGGAGGAAGTGTACAAGTTGTTGAAAGGGGTTTGATCTTGGTTTGACTGGACTTCTGTAAGAATAAGTAGATAGGTTTAAACAAAGATTATAGACGAAGACATGAAGTTTAGTTGAACTTGTTCTGGATACTACTAATCCCCATCAGTTTGCTAATATAATTTACAGAAGTTTGATAACAATCTGTTCTGGTTTAAGCTTTTGGTTTTTGCTTTGATAGGAGGAAGCACTAAGCAGTGTGTTGAATGAATCTGTAGAAAGTGTAAAGGAAAAGAGAAGGAATAGAGTGGGCTTGAGTTGAAATTGTGCTCGCAAGCCGAGCCCGTAATCATTGGGCCAAGGAGTATATCATCAGCCCAACCCAGAGGCTGTCTTGTTCAGCTACCACGATAATTCGGGCTGGACTGGATGAGCTGAGGTGGCACTTTCTGTTTATCCAATTGGCCTACCCCCAACCTTGCACTTCTTTTCTTGCATAAATCAACGATTGTGTATGGTCACCCCTCTTATCAAACCGGATTAAATCTAACACATAGATCAGACCAAATCAGATCAATTATAATGTGGTTCGATTCTCGGGGTCATAAACTTATAAATACTAACGAAACGCGATCAAAAGCAAATATTAGACAAGATCAAATGCACTTTCATTCCAATTTTAACCAATGAAGGATCATACTTGTTGGTGTGACTTGAATCGGACTATCAGCCCGCAGTGTATGGACTCAATGTTATTTGGGTTCGGATTCTGAGTTTGATCTGTAACCGTTTCCTTTGCCAAATTGGATTAGGTTTAGACCCACATGGAGAAGTACTACAAATACTTCTCATACTCCTCTGTAATATCCTCGATATAGTGAAACTAGCTCTCCCTCGTCCGTGGACTAGCTAACACACATCGTGTTAGTGAACCACGTAAATTGTGTGCCGTATTTTTATTCTCGCTTACGTATTCTTACTTTATTGATTCCGACAGATTTCACGATCCATAGCTGTGCGTTTATAACAATACACTTATCGAAAACCTCATTACTTGAAACGTCGTCCATTGGGGGTATCAAACACGCCAACCGTTTGTTTTAGTCATGTGCTTGATGATGGCTGAAGCAGAAGCTTAGTCAAAGCCCCATTAGCAGGCGTAACCAGTCGACTTAACTTCCTTCTCCGTAAATCTGAGGCACTAATTAATTAATCAACAAAAGAAAAAAAGAAACGCCCACCTTTTCCCTCTTTTCCCGCCATCACTTTCTCCCCTCTCCTTTTTCCTGGCGAGAGAAGAAGAAACTAGTAGAAACATAAATGGAGAAGAAGAAAGAAAAAAAAAGTCTATGAGAAACTTCCTGAAGTCGGCCCCAAGGTTTAAGCAGGCCACGTGGTCCCATTCAGCACGTGCCATTCCCCAGTTCCGATTCTCGGATCCCGTTCCCGCCCACCCCGGCGACTATTCCTTCCCTTCTCCGCCACCTGTTCTAACTTCTATCCTCTTTTCTCTACCCCAATTCTAATTTTCGCAACAGAACCAAAAACAAAACTAACAGATATAATTTACGAGTTAAATTAATTAATTACACACCCTCTGATTCGCCCTGTGAATCTGCTTCAGCCACGGCGTCTCTCCGTTCTGACAATCCCCCGGCTCCGACTTCACCACCTCCCCCGGCGGCTGCAGCTGCAACTCCGTCTCTCCGTCCTCCTCCATCGCCGCCGCCGACGCACTCGTCGATTCTCCATCCCTCCCTCTCTTCGCCCCAATCGCCACCCCGAAAATCCTCGCCTCCTCCAACTCGCCCACACTCCGCTTTACCGGCATCAGATCCAGCGGCGGCGGCGGCGGGCTCGCCGCCGCCTCCTCCTCGGCGATCCGAGAACCGGGGCTACCGGTGTAACTCGACACCATGGAGAATATGTTGTTGCAGAGATTCTTCATCTCCACCAGCTCCTTGCTCAGCTGCATGTTCTCCCTCCTGAGCCTCTCGTTCTCGCCGATCAGCTCCGCCGCCGGCCCTCCAGCCCCGGCGAGAGGCGAGGAGGAGGTTGCAGAAGCGCCGCCGAACTGCTCCTCTCCCGAATTCGACGGAGACGCGAATTGCTTAATCGAGACCTGAGTCGGGGAGGGAGTTTGCGCCGATGACAGAACCTTCCGCCGCTGTATCTCGCACAACAGGCGCCTCTCTCCCCGCCGGAAACAGTCGTTGGAGAATTCCCATCGATCCGGCACCAGTTTTCTGAATCCCTAATTGCAAAACAGAGACATAAATGATTTCAATTTCTCGAAAACCTAGAAACCGGCAAAGATAGAATTTGAATTTACTGATAAGATTCAATTAGGGATTAGATTAGAAAAGATTGCTTACGTAAGTGTTCAATTGGCGGACGAAGCTGGAGAAGTTATTGTGCTTGAAGTTCTTTGGGAGGATGTCTCTGGCGAAGACGGTGGGGTTCCAGACGACGAAGCTCGATCCGTCGTCGTTCCAGGAAATCACGTCGTCGATTGCCGGATCGTCGACGAGCTGGTACGTCTTGGTGAGGAACGGCGTCGGGAGAGATCTCTTCGACTCTGTTCCTCCTCCGCCGGTTGGAGTACCGGCGTCGGCAGTCTGATCCGACGTCGGAGGAGTCATCGGCTGCGCAATGGTGGAGGAGCTTTCCCCCGGTCACTGAATCAGTTGTGGAAAGTTCTGAATCGAGATAAGATGAGATGAGATGGTTGAGCAGAGCTGCGAAGAGGAAGACGAAACGCAGATAGATAGAGAGAGAGAAGCAGGAGAAGGTATGTTACGTCTCTTCGAGAAGCTTCCCCTTTTTATCTTCTTTTTTCCCCCTTCTCTCTCTTATTTATTCTTTATTATTTTCTGTGTGCGGTTTCTTTTTTTCTCTTTCTTTTTTAAGTTCAGCGAAAAGAAAATAAATTTATTTTTTTCAGGTTGCGTGGGAGGTAACTGGTAAATTTGGGAACTCGCGAATTATATTTTTCTGGGAAATTAGTAATTATTTTTCAGCGACTTTATTTTTACTCTATATATGCCAGAAAATATCTACCTGCAGATGTTTTCCAACTTTTGCATTTAATGTTTTTTAAGTTTAACATCGTAGTCAACAAGCTAATTCATGTAAAAAGGTTGAATTTTGTGATGGGGATTGGGAATAATGCAACTTCAAGACTGAATTTCTTTTCTTCTATTCCCACTCAAAGAGGTTGAACTTTGTGATTGGGAATTGGGATTGGGTCATGGTGTTTATCTCGTATTGACGTAAGTTTGTGCTCACGCTCGAACCTATAGACATACTAATCCAATCAGTTCAAACTTCGTTGAATGTATCATAACGCATAAGATATAAATTTTGACCGGAGTAACTAAATTTGGAACCAAAATTACTCTTTTTCGGTCACCAGAGGAAGAGGGGATATATCATATATATGTTAATATGTACATCCAAAATGGTTAGAACTTAGAAGTAGGGAGCAAAGGTTATAAGAGGAGCCAAGTGTTGTAATATTCGGAACTAGCATTATCTTCTCATCTTATCTCTTGTTCCACACACCCTCGGCTAACATTTCCTAGACACGTACAAAACCCCAATCTATCCCAACAGAGAAGAAAGCGACTCCATTGTTGTATAGATACAGTAAATGCTGATGCTTCTTCGATGGCAGCTTTCCTTTGGGGTCACTTTCCCCCGCCACTGAAACTGAAGCCCATTGAAAAAAACCCCTACTTGAAGATGAAACATGGCTTAGAGGACTCACCAGAACCATACAATGTCTGGAAACGGTTTCACATGTCGTACCAATTTTTCGGCGTCTTGGTTTGTGAGACCGTATCGGATATCGTACTTACGAGGCTAATGCATTGATTAGAGGGTTAATGATTGGTCGATTAGGATATTAACGAATTGCTAACACTGTGTGTTTGGCTTTGGTGAATGAGGGAAACATTCTTTTGCCTTGTTATATGGAGTAGGAAAAGTTCCAACAGTGTGTGTGACTAGGAATGGCTTGTCTTTTGGTGTGGGGCGGTTGGGTAAATCCTATTTCAGAAAGGGTAATCTTTGACAAGGGATTATACCCTATTATAATGGGAAGGGAAAAGGGAAGTCCTAGTCAAAAGGGTTGTAATCCTGACATGAACCTAAACAGTATTATAGTAGAGAGAAAGCCACAACAAAGCCATCATCAATGGCTGAAAGCCTCCAGACCAGAATAATACCATATATCTGTTAAATAAAGGAAGGGAGAACATAAACATAACAAGAAACTCCCATGAAGATTCTAAAGTGATAAGCCATCATGGCCTGCCCTGAAATCAAACTCTGTAGTCTATCCCAGATTATATCTCCTATGGTCTTACCAGGTTTCTTGACTCGAATCTAAATTCCTCCTATATCGCTTCACGTTAAGGGAAGCGGGCAGTTCATCTAAGAGCTGCAAGACTTCCACTGCATTCTTAATATCGCGGATTGTCCTGGCTAGCAAACTTTGGTCACAGCATAATTGCAGGCAGCAAGTAATTGACAGCATCACCATTTAACTTCGATCAGGAAATGCATACACGTTGTCATAAGTTGAGATTGCATAGAATTAGCAGATGCAGTGGCAAAAGGCTGAAGTAAAAAAAATGTTGTGCAGATACTTCCTCTCCAAATAACAAGGAATCAAACTGAGAAGAAGATCCTGTTCTTTTTGTTTCGTACGCTCTTTGTTTTTGTCATTCTACTGACAAATGTACAGAAGTAAATGTAGTTCCTGTAGGTTCAAGTATTTCACTTGCATGAACTAACAAGAGGAAGAAAATCTGGTACAAGCATACACTTTCCTCTTTTGGCATTCATCAAAAACTTCTCAAGTGGTAAAGGAAACAGATCGTATCAAAATCATCAGGAAACGGATAGAGTGCCTCTTCTGTAAAACAACAGGCTTATCGAAGTGAAGACTGTCCAAACAAAGACAACCCACCACGCCATAAACACGCCAACTTCTTTGGTAAAAGCAGAGCAAGGCAGCAATCCACAAAACATATGCATATTATTCTTCACCGAGTTTCCATCAATCAGAGACAAGCCAAGGAAGAGAAGTACCAGGATCGGTGGAGCGAAGAACTGCAGGCCCACGAGGCACAAGAAATGATTGTGCAGGAAAACTTTAGCTCTACTGAAGTCCAGATCAGGAACTCTGCTAGCATGCAACCTTTGGTACCAAGACAGCACGGCTTCGTTCAAGAACATCTGCAGATTCGGTCTTATGGCCACAAGTTGGAAGCAAGCTGAAGCTACAAGGCTCCAAATTCGTAGATTAACAAACTCGGATCGAGCAAAACCCAATCTTCCCACCAATTGATCAGCATTTCCAGAGTCTTTCTTGTAAAGGATCTCGGATAAGGGACGAATCCAAAGAAGAACGGGAAGGGCAACCGAAATGTAGTTTCCGTATAGGATCATTTTAGCAAAACCACCACATGATATTATTGAGAGATTAGATCGAGTCTGATCAGTCCCAATCCAAAACGATCGCGCATTCTTGCCAGCAGCCATGTATAGAAATCCACCAATGCAGCCCATCAGGAACGCAATGAAGAACTTTCCATACCCATCAAGTGAATTCAGATCAAAATCAAGGACCGAGCCAGCAAACCCGGAACAAACGATGAACCCTAACACAAACCCCAAAACCCCTACCACTAAACCAAATCGCTTCTCCGATCTCTTGGACGCTGATCTCTCAAACGAAACTTTACCCAGCGACACAAACAACTTCAAAATACCAACGAGGATCAGAATCGCCGGAATTAACGACCCATTAACAAAAGCCCCACCATCGCGTTCTTCTCCCCCTTCCCCGGCGGCCAAGTACTTGTGGAGAGACAAACAAGCGAGGGAAATGAGAGAGTAAGTGAAGGAATACCAGTAATCCTTGAAGTAGAGGCGAGACTGGAGATGACCCTCGTCGAGTTTTAGCCTAAAGATCTGGGCTTGGTTTTCGTCGAACTCGAATTTCTCCTTGGATTTACCCTTCCTCGGCTTCGGCTCGGCGTTGCCGTCGGAGGGTCGTCGGATGGCGGCCTTGACGCCGCCGTTCTGGCTGGGGGCATTATCGGGCTGGATGTAAGTGAGGAGGCCGTGGAGTAACAAGGCCGGGAATCGGAGAAGCGTTGAGAGCAGAGTGAGGGAGACGGCGAGAGAGATTTCGAGGATGGGAATCTTGTACGCTTGAATGGATTGCCATACTAAAGCTTGTTGCATTATCAGTGCTTTTAGATGAAATCAAAGCTCCTTCTTAGGTGGGCGAAGATGAATAGTTGGGGAAGGTTTGAGGGATTTTGGGAAATGGAAGAGTTTCGGAAGATCTGGAGATTGGTCGTTTGTCGTTGATCTCTGTGAAAGTGAAGGATAAACGAGTTGGCGTCGCCATTTTGCTTCAGAATGAAGACTGAAGAATGAGTTGCTTACTTTTGGGGCTTTGGTACGGAATTGGATGGGCTTTTTATCTTACTGTTCATTACGGGCTTTTGTTAACGGGTGGGCCTACCGGCCTAGCATTATTTCTTATTAGTCTGCTAAAATCTACCAAAGGATGAATGTTAGGTGCGTTAGCACCTATTCTTTGAAGCATATATCGTTTTTTTAATCATAAGCCAAGGATTTCGTTCTTCTCATTGAAGAGTTAAATTCATTATGTGGTGAGATATTTATCATTTTTTTTGTTATCGCGAGTGATTAGTTATTACTATACGTGACGACATTATATTAAATTATAGCTCATTTGTCATTTACTTACTGTGTTGGATGATAAAGAGCAACTTTCAAAGAATATAACATATAATTATGATTGAAGAATTTATGAATTTGAACAAATTTTCAAATTGATATATTATGAGACAACAAAGTACATCAATGTGCTTGTATGTAAACGTATTATGAGACAAGATAGTATATCAATGATCAATGTGCTTGTATGTAAATATGTTTTTTGAAACGGTTTACACGAAAACAAGAATGTGATATATGGTACACAACAACTGGGTTTAATCTTATAATCATTTTTTTGTCAATTCATGAAGTAGGAACATTAACCACAGCCGTATATTTTGTTGCTTATTTTAGATATATACATTGTAATCTACATTTTGTTGCTTTATTTTAGATATAATGTGATGAGGATAAAGTTGGCTTCATAATTCAAAGATTAATATCCTATGAATATGTCTACATCCCTTTCCTACTTTTATGTTTCAACTTGTGCACTTCTCATTCTTCAATGTTTATCAGTAGCCCCAAAAAGGTAGGAAAATATCTATACTTTTGCCCATACTGATATTTTGGGGTCTGAGAATCTACAAATGGTAATTGAATGAAAGCGTGAGAGATAATGAAATGATTCTTCTTCTCAAATACAACCCTCAACTTGAAGTAGTATGAACGAATATGATCAGATGTGCAGGGGACTGAGGTCTGAGGGTGTGTTTTTAAAATCCATTTTACCCCAAACTCATATGAGACACTGGTCCGTTAAATAATTAGATTTCTCGTGTCGAGTTTATCGGTTGTATTTTTACAGTTTTTTCCGTATAAAATGAATCGAGAATTCATTTCATTGTAAAATGAATTACCATGTAGAATTGATTGTCAAATGAAATCCTATATTTGGTATGTTATATTCAAATATTTAGAAATAAAATGAAGTGTCGTGTAGAATTCATTGTCAAATGAATTCCTGTGTTTGACATATGATATGTATAAATAATTTAGTTAATAAAAGATGATAATTATGTCATTCTATTATAATTAGTAAATACTTGTAAAATTCATTTGGAAATTCCATCTCAAGTCATCGAAATTGCTATAACTAGTTCTAATTCCAGAGAAATCAAAATTTAGAATCGAAATGAATTCTTTTTAATACCAAACACAAAATTATTTCATTTCAAAATAAATTGCTCAAAACTTATGAAATTCATTTATATCAATGGTATGTTATATTTTTTGTTAGTTTCACATGATTTAGTGAACTAAGGTTACATGATACATCAAATAAAAATCTATTTGTTAACTAAAATTTTGTTCTTGATTCAATCTATAGTCCATTGCTATAGGGAGGTACTAATTAACGCCCTAAGTTTTTTAAAATTTGTCGCCCTAACTTGACAATTTGACCTTTCTGCCCCTCAAAATTCCAAATCCCTAAAAAAACATCGCCCTAGGAATAACGCCATTGCAGTATTCGCCGGCTACGGCGACGAGACGGAGCAGCAACATAGATAATTCGCCGGCGACCGACGGCATCTGGGTGCGGCGGGATTTAGGGCGATGGATCGGCGGTGGCTTTTGGGATCTGGGTGCGGCGGGATTTAGGGCGATGGATCGACGGTGGCTTTTGGGATCTGGGTGCGGCGAGATTTAGGTCGATGGATCGACGGTGGCTTTTGGGAAGTGTAGTAGTAACTACAACAACAGTTGGGAGAATCGAGAGAGGGAAAGGAAGGGAGCAGTTTCCATTTGGAACAACGACGATGGTGATGAGGATGATGATGGCGACGACGGGGAAAGAGCAGACGCCGTTGTTGAGGGACTGTTGATTTTAGCCGGTGACTGGCTGGGGAAATCATCAGTTACGCAGAGGAAAAAAAAGTTAGGGCGCCCTGGGCCTAACAAATTTTCGCCCTGGGATTAACGCCCATCGCCGCCGTACGCCACAGAAGTCTTCGCCATCTGGGAGTGTTTTGCCATTGATTCCATTAGTTGTTTGGTTCCGATTTCTGTTTCTAGGTATTCTTTCAAAAGCGACAACTCTGTTTTTTGGTTTTAAACAGGGCGCTGGAGGTCAGAAAGAAAAGGGCGGTGGTGGTAGGTGGCCGCCATGGTTGTAGCCAACCATTCACATTCTCCTCAACGAACTGGCCGGAGCAACAGCAGAGGTGGAGACCTCTCCCCTTCCTCAACGCCAACGGGCGGAGCAGCAGCAGGCAGCAGCCAACCGTTCGGGCCTTCTCTCTCCTTCCTCAACGGCGACGGGACGGAGCAGCAGAGAAGTTCGCCGGCGACGGGATAGGTGGAGACGAGAACGCCCTTGAGAGGGATTATCGCCGGCGATGGAGAAGCAAATTCTTGTCGGCAACGGACGTGATTGGCAATTCTGGGTTAAGAATTTAGGGCGAATAACTGGTTTTGGGAATTGGGGGTAACCGTTTTAGGAATTGGGGGTAGAATTGTCTGTTTAGATGGTTTAGGGCGAAAATTTTAAAAAGTTAGGACGTTAAATAGGAATCCAGTTGCTATACACAAAAAAAAGACAACAAAAAATCTATAGTCCATTGCGGAATGTTATTGTTTAAATAGAAAGGTTATCCATTACCTCTCTTTCTAAGAAAAGGATCGAGTTGCAGTTGGCAAAGAGAGAGAGAAAGAGAGTACCGAAGCTTTGAACCAGCGACCATGTGGTTGTGTGGAAGAACACACAAGCCACAACAGCCAAGGGAAGCTTGGTCTTTCTAAGAAAAGGAAAGAATAACTTCTAATTTAATTGTATCGATGGCATCTTTGCATTTTCTGCATCATCAGCTTTAAATAATTTAGTCCATTTCAAAATGGTGAAATGACATATTTGGTCACTAAGAGTAGTAAATCGTGTCATGTTTAGTCACTTGAAAATTTTAATATTAATTTTGGTCACTCGAATTACTGAAATATGTCACATTAGATCACTCTCATGTAGCCTATGTCCAACTCCGGTCACTCGAATTATTGAAACATGTCACATTTAGTCATTCAAATTACTAAACATGTCACATTTAGTTAATGGAGTTGAATGGAAACTAACGGGAGAGTGCCTAAATGTGACCAGTTTCAGTAATTCGAGTGACCAAAATTGATATTAAATTTTTCTAGTGACTAAACATGACACGATTTAGTAATCTCAGTGACCAAATGTGGCATTTACCCATTTCAAAATATTATCGTTTACTATCATTTTCCCGAAGACATTTAATGAAAATCTTTGTGCAGGACCTAAAAGGGCTTAAACAGATGAATCTCTAAATTTGATCTCGCTCTACCATCACTTAAGTGGTGTGTGGAGGTTCCTGGATAATAAACAAAAAACAAACAAGAAAATGATACTAAGCTAGCTATACCTCTTCAAAGAAAATTAAAGAACAATAATTTTCTAAGCTAGGTTGACTGATTAAATATAAGATATTTCAAAAGGTATGTTAAATGCAATATTTTATAATCATAAGTCGTCACTAATACTTAAAATTGACTCCATCTCTACCTTAAGATATTACATATGTCACACTCACGTAACAAATTTGATTCTACACCTTAGTTATGAACCTAACCCCCAATTTTCCAACCTGAAAAAAAGAAAAGAAGAAAAGATCTAGTAGATAGCCGGGCTTGTATATCTTGTTCTTCCTCAGGCTGTAGACATTGTTTCTGCTATAGCTAGCTATCATGCACTACCCTTTGGAGGAATCTCTTTCGTCGTTATCGCCGTTCCTCTTATCAAGCTGCGGCACCACCTGTTGCAAATCATCGGAACTTTCACGATTAGTTATCTCGACAGTCAATATAATATTGTGAGGTTTCTGTGTGAGAAATCTTTTGTAAAACGAAAATATCAAAAAACAAACACCATCTAATCTAAAGCGATGATTTTGTCAAAAACAAATTTAAAGTGTGTATGGTAAATACCGTAACTACAACTCATTTCATCTAATCTTTGAGTGATTCGCGACAACCAATGTGCTCAAAACATGTAAAACAAACGAATCCCACTCGATCCAACTCTCAAAATCGAGTAGGATGAGATTAGATTGACGAGACAAACAAAATTACACTCCAGCCATCATTTTGTTGAAGCTTGTAGCTTTAGACATTTTGTCACAAATTCTCACAATTTAGGAACCATCTTAGACATTTTTATTGTAGGGGCGGTGGGCAAGAACCTGATCGTGTGATGATGAATTGCCGGTTTGAGTATTCTGATTACGAGTATGAGAAGACGACATCGTCGATCTTCTTGATTTCTTGTGTCCATTCCTCCACCTCAATTTGCTTCTCGACCCGACCGAATCTGTTCAAACCCATGACCAACAAACCCAACCAGCCAAAATCAATTAGACAATACAATAACCTTTAAATATTCATTGCGGTCCATTTTTTTATATATTTGTGCACACAAAATTTAATCAACCTAGCTCAAAAGCCCATAAAATAACATTAATGTGAATGGTGGCAAAAAATATCTTCCTTGGGTATATCCACATTTCCCCAGTCATATCCGTTACAATCTTGATAGATATTATTTAAATTCAATTTGTTACATATAAATTGCATCATCTTATATAATAAGAAAAAGTTCAATTTTGCCAGATAAATATCTGATGGCTAATTATAATTAAAAGTTCACTTTTGAGTTGTAATGATTTTTTATTATAATTAATCTGGGTATCTTCGAAATCTAGTATAATGATTAATTATTAATATCCAGATAAAAGTGTAGAAAAGGTTAAAGCAGATCACTTTTTCCGCGGCGGAATAATCATCGAATCGATCGGCAAAGGAGAAGAAACAAATGCACCCGGCAATTGGAACTACACGTAATCGCCGATCCAAAATAACGCACCTGATGAGGTGGCGGCGGAGCCGATCGGGGACTTCTTCTGCCGCCGTGATTTGGCGGAGTCGAGAGTTGACTCCAAGCTGTCCGGCAGGCACCGATCGAGGCGGAGGTGGTGGTGGTGGCGGTGGAAGGACGAGTTGTGGTTTTCAAATAGCATTGTACGAACGAAGGTGGCCTCCATCGAGTTCAAGAAATTCACGTGCTTCTCGTTCGTCCAGTTCCCTCCGCCTCCGCCTCCGCCGCTGCTGCAGCTGCTTCCGGTAGAAGGTTCGCCGTCGTCCATCGGATGCTGCCGGGGAATGAAATGAAACTGTTCGACGAAATTCCCAAGAGAAGTTTCTTCTTCCCTTTTCTTTCAAGTCCTTTGGTAAATATATATATAGCGCGGGTGAGATAAATAAAACCACGGCCTTTTTTCCCCTTTTTTTAATTCGCGGAAACAGCTGGCGGAAGGGAATCTGCTCGCGCGTGTGGAAGTTTGCTCACTCGCGCAGTGAAGTGGGCAGGTGGGGACGGTGTTTGCGGGCCCGAGTGGACAGAGCAATGAGAGAGCGAGTGGATTCAGCGCGTGGTTGGGAGAAGGTGGGGGTGGGGAGCGGGAAGGGGAAAAATATCTGGGGATGGGGGATAGGATAGGGATATAAAAGGAAGATATTTTAGGGGAGAAAAGTGAGGGAGGGGAAGTGACAATTCTTTTGTTTCCTTTTGCCTTTCCTTTCCCTTCTTTCATTTTCCCAATCGACATCTAACCGTAGGAAAGTAACTGAAGGAAGTACAGAAAAAATCTTGTGAGTGGTTTGGTAACGATCTTGCTTGTTTAGGAAAAAGAATGAAACTTTTTCTAAAGAATTAATAAAAGAGCTCGTGTCTATATACACCATGTTACCGATCAACGAAATCGTACTGAGATTCAGGATTCATTTGCTTGTTGGATTTGAAAATGAAATTTTTTATTAGTTTTGAAAATCTTTGAATTTATAATGGGTTTGTTTCATTTGTTATTTGAAAAATAACCTTGTTTGTTTAGTTGATTTTGACTATGGATTTAAAATTTTTTGTACCATGGGTCTCAACTCCTTGTCTTTAATGACCAAATACCAAATGAAATGTGGTATATGCAAATACGTGGTGTCCACAGATTTGGGCTAAAAAAATGTCAAAATCAGTGAGCCCCACATATTTGTATACCTCAACAAACAATGTTTTTATATCAAATATGTAATGCTTTATATTTAGGTGTCAAATACATCACCCAAATCCCACAAACAAACGCACCTTAGTGTCTAGTCATGTAGGGGTGTTCAAATGGTTACCATGATTATTACCAAACCAAATAAGGCTAAATTTTATTAACCATGGAATACAATATCATAACCAAACCGTCCAAACTAATACAACAACCAAATTAACCAAACTAAAGTTTAATCGGTTTGGTTAATTGGTTAATCAAAATCACATTATCATTAAGTGAGAAATTTTTGGGTTAATTTATCAATTCACAATTTATATAATGAATAAAACATAACAATCAACACTTGGTTATAGTTGACCTTTAACATAAATACATGCAACGAAGACAATTATCTTACGGTTAGTATAGAAGTATTCACCTAGCAAAAATTTATCACAATGGTATGGGTTAATGAATTGTTGTGTTTGTATGAATTGACTAGTCTTTTAGCAATTTTCATAGGTTGAAAAGAAACTGGCTTTTAAGTTTTCATCCAACATAATGTATGAGATTTATCTAAATTAGGCGTTCATATGTTGTGGTCTACACTCTACATATACAAATATACATTATAGGAACAATATCAAGCTTTATATTTTATGAGTCTGAAAGGGATGAACGTTTAACTCTTGAGTGCTTATTCAAAGTATTATGTATGTGTATATATTAGATATATGGTTAATTATTTATCTGATTAATTTGGTTTGACTGGTTAGGAGTGTCTAAAACCAAACCAAACCACCTAAACCAAACAAGCTAAAAACTTTAACCAAACCAATTATCCAAATTAACCAAACCAAATTATCCAAATTAACCAAACCAAATTATCCAAATAGTACTGGTTAAAATGGTTACCATGGTAACCATACCGTTTGAACACCCCTATAGTCATGTGCACAAAGGGATTCGTGAATAAAGGTAGATACAAGTTATAATAGGTGTATGAAACAAAAAAATTATGATTTGTGAGAAAATATGATAAAAGCAATCGAGTTATGCTTTGATAGGTTCATAATACCATAAACCTCCAATCTCAGCAGAGGTTTAAGAACAAGAGCCAAAGCCAGAATTCGGAGTGCTCTCCATGCTTGCTTATGTGTAGTATGTTTGATACTAATTTATGAGAAGTAAGAAAAAGAGAAAAAGAGAAAAAGAGTGAAAAATAAGGGCTAGTTTGCTTCATAGATTTGATAAATGAAGGTTTTGGTAAAAAATTTTATTTTATAAAATCAAGGATTTATGATGAAATTGTTCAATTTGGTTTTAGATAAAACCATTGTTTGTTTGATGGATTTCATGATGAATTTTGCAAAATGATATTTGTGGTTATATAAGAAGTTACATATCTACCCTTACTATTCCTTATTTATTGTTAGAAACAAAACAAAATAAGGTTAAAATAGTAAATAAGCATCATGGACTTGAGACACCCACACAAATCTCACCCTTTGAGATGGAATTTCCAAGTCCGTGGGGTCCACAGATTTGCACCCTAAAAAACTGTGGGCCCCACGGATTTATCCCTACTAAATCATCAAGCAAACAAAGGATTGTGTATAAAGTCCATGATGGTTGGTTTTTATGTACCAAATCCATGATGAAATCCATCAAGCAAACAAGCCCATAGTTAATGGTAATATGTTCAGAGCAAATGCTGGTGAAGAAGCTAGGCCTTTGTCGGATGAGGAGAAGATTGAGAGGGATGTGAGAAGAATTGAATTGGGGAATGATTTGGACTTACTTGAGATGTCTTGGAGGCAGAAGTCTCGAGAATTATGGCTGCAAAAGGGTGAGAGGAATTCCAATTACTTTCATCGTATGGCCAACTTCAAACGAAAGGTTAATCTTATAGAGGCCATTTATATTAGCGGGGTGTACAATGATGGTAGAGATAACTTGGTTGATGGCATTGTGGATTACTATTGTAATCTCCTCACTGAAGCTTTTGTTCACCGGCCTTTCCCGAAGGAGTACTCTAGTAACATGCTTAACTCCCAAGAGGCTGAGCTCCTCATTCAGTCTTTCTCTGAATTGGAAGTGTGGAATGTCATCAAGTCCTATAATGGTTGGAAAGCTCCTGGACCTGACGGTTATAGTATTGATTTCTACAAGAAGAGTTGGGATAGGATCAAAGGAGAGGTTATGCTGGCTGTTTATGATTTCTACGAAACCGGTTATCTTCCGAAGAACGCTAGTGACTCGCTACGGCACAACACCAAACTGTGATCAGTATAATCGCAGAATGGGAATGCAAAATAGTGGTTTAGTTTAAATTATCGACTCGGGCTCTAGATCTACTGCCTACTCCGTGAACCTCTATTACCTAGTGGGACTAAGTGAGTGAAGTGATTTTAAAGCAAAATAAATAAAACGCAAGTAATAATCCGATTTTCTAAGTATGTTAAAGGCCATCTAGGTATGGTTCCCCCTAGTATGCAACTAGTTCAGATTATACGTTCCCAATTTACTCAGATTGATTGATAAACCGAAGAAAGTTCTTTACTGGTCTGGACTCTCGACTAAAGTTCTTCCGAACCTCTCGGTTCGGATACCCAACGGCGACTAACCTCCACCGGCAAACACTAACCGAGGTTAATCACATGAAACTTCCTCTACTGGCGCTTGTTCCAGTATGGAGCACTGAATTCACTTCTCGACTAAAGTAGTCGATTCACCACTTTCAATTCAAGGTTGTTCTTTTAACCTATGCAGAGACTATTGTTCTAGGTTAAACCCGGAATTACACAGGTTTGATCAGGACTCATGCAATTTTTATTAATTCCTCAACTGAATTTATCAAATCAATCATTCGCAAACATGGTTCATACAACAATTCATAACATACAAGACTAGGATTCTTCATACCCAGATGAAAAGAGAGTTTACTCCATGGAGAGAAGAGGAAACATCATGCTAGGAGAAGAAATCATCATAAGGACAATGAAAATATGCTCCAAGCGGCCAATCGGTACTACCCGAGTGAGAAATCAAGCTCCGAGGTCTTCAGATCGCTCCAAACCCTGCCCAACGGGTGTTCTTCGACACTTTCTCTCTCCTGGGTTCTCTCTTGCTCTTTTGTTCTCAGAAAAACGGATTGTGTGTCAACTTCCTCCAACCGCAGCTAAGAAAACCCGACGCCAGAATCCACGATCCAAATCCACGGTCGGGGATTTGGAGTTTAGACCGCGGATTTGCCAAAACGACGTGCATCGATTAGTGGCAGATCCAATATCCACGGTCTCCTCATGAAATTCCCCAATCGTGGAATTGGGGAATTAGACCGTGGATTTCTGATAGAAACTTGCATTTTAGTACTTTGATTATTTGTCGGTTTATTATTATTCGGATTATAGGGACTATTCGGGAATAATTTATAGATCGGGTAGTAGTAGGGAATTAGCCATTTTTATATAAACTACTTGTAAGTGAGAATTATAGTTAAGCAAAGATTAACCTAAAATCTAAAGGCTCTAATTTTCCCCTCTCCCTCTCTCTTTCAGCCGACCCCACCTTTCCTCTCTCTCCTTTCCCTTGGCTGCGAGCAGCAGCCTCCCTCCCTCCTTCTCTCCTTGCTGCCGGCGGCAGCAGCCCTCTCTTTCCCCCCTTTTTACTTTCTCAAATCCCCCAAATCAATTCCCCTTCCCTTTCCCTAATTCCCGGATCAATCCCTAGTTGATCCTAATCCCTAGTTCACAGGTAGAGCTCACCTCGAGTTCTATCAATTTCCACTCGACGAATTATACTTTTCATTCCTCGAATCCACGGTTGGAGATTTTAAGGCACCGTACCGTGGATTCAGCTGTCTTGACCTCCGGTTCCCTTTCGCTCTCCAATTTTCCCCAGATTCGCTCCTCAGCTTCCATTCACGTTCCATGACCTGAAACATCATCAACAAGCACTACCTAGCGTAGAACGGGCCAAAAAGCAATCAAAAGCAAAAGCCAAACAGTCAAGAAATGTCGGAAAACATTTGAAAATATGGTGTTATTATCAAATTCCCCCACACTTAACCGTTTGTTTGTCCCCAAGCAAACCTAACTCAAACCAATGCA